GGGGGGGGGGGGGGGGGGATGGGAAGATGGAAATGGAGGGATGTTAGGCGGCGCTGGTCCTGACAAGGCGTTGGGCAGCGGTCATGGGCCCCCTTTGCGCTCGTCTCCTCCTCTACCGGTACCTAGACCTAGACCTAGACCTAGAAGAACAAGAGTGATGGATGATGGCAGGTCAGGTCAGGACGAGGGGAAGAGGCGCCGTCGATTAATTTGTGACCACGACAACTGACAACAACAACGACACCACCACCAAGAACAGCAACAACAACTACGACGACGACTTGGACGACGAGGGAGGTGGCAAGGGCGTGTGTGCGTGCGTGCGTGCGTGCGTGCGTGTGTCTGTGTGTCTGTGTGTGCGTGTGTGCGTGTGGGCTTTCTTGTGCGGTTGTGTGTCGCGCTGCCTCATGCGATTTCTTCCAATTGCGAGTTGAGACAAGAGTGGCGGCCAACTTTAGCGTGCTTCCCCCTCGTTCCCCCAATTCGTCGGCTAACCAAACACCAGACCAAAAGCTGTGACGTCGCGGGAAACAGCAGAAATAGTAGGCTTCCTTTCTCTCTCTGTCTCTCTCTCTCTCTCTCTCTCTCTCTCTCGCTCTCTCGCTCTCCTGAATTCGATTGATTCGCTTCGCTACGAAACGGGCAAACGGCGTGCTGCTCACCTGCAGCGTGCCAAAACAGTTTGCTGGCTGATTGCAGTCTTGGCTCCCGTCGGAGAATTGGTGTGAAGAGAGGCTAGATGAATGATGGATCGCTGGATGGCTGGCTGGCTGGCTGGCTGGCTGGACGAGATATGAGATATGGTAGAAAAGGAAGAGTGCAACGCAATGTCGACGGTGACGGAATCCTGCCTTGAAATTCGCGGCTTCTAGAGTTCCCGGTAGGTTGGCTTCACTCTACCTGGCAAGCCCACGAGTGAGCACAAGTGGGCTGGCCCGTCCATGACATCACTTCCGCCCCCCCTCCATTTCTATGGCACACATGCATCGCTTTCACCTTCACGTGACAGCTTAGCTGGCGATGGATAGCACAAACGCCGTGTCCTCTTTTGCATATACATGGTAACACGAGAAGATTCAAGAAGAAGACAAAGAGGAAGAGGATGAGGATGAAGAAGACACGGCACATGTCATTGGTCCACATCATAGTATATACCCACCCCTCTATCCACTACCACCACCACCACCACCACCACCACCACCAAGAACTACACCATCTACACTCACTGACTCCCCCCCCTCCCCCAAACTCCACCACAACTCAACACATTACCTATACTCTACACTTACAAATACACCCTCTTTGCAGAACAAAAAGGAAAGAAATTGAAAATAAATAACATCCGTCGCTATGCAAATAACCCCCAACCCACAAGCTTGTTGCTTCTCTGCATCCTCATCACTTGGCCGACACCGCAGCCATCCATTTCTGCTCGTCCGTTTTGTCAAAGTGCAGCAACATGGCCAGCACCGGAATCAGCTGCTGCTGGTGCTTCTTGTCCCGTTGCTCGAGGAATTGCAGCAGCACGTTCTTGAGGTAGACATAGTCCATCGCCTCCCCGCTCCCACCCGCCGTACCAGGCCGGCCGGGTGCAGGCGACACCATTCGGGACCGTGACGACTCCACCGACGTACGCGAAGAGGGGCCCATCGTTGTCGTCGTTGCCGTCGTAGTCGATTCACCGCCGCGAGCTTTGAGCGCCCGAAGCTCCTCAGACATCATCTGTTACAAAGTCAGATGAGATCACTTCAACATCATCCAACCTGGACCTCCACCTACCTTGCCCGACTTTTGTACCTTCTCCAACCGACCTTGAGTCTCGTCAAACGCACGCCGCACCTCATTCTTCTCCTTCTCCAACTCGCGCGCCTGCTTTTCCACCTCGTCAAGCGCATCCCGCAGCTGACCCATGGCAGATCGTACTTCCACCACCTCTTCCCTGGCCTGCCCTGCTTTCCTCTCAAACTCGTCTCTTTGTCGTCGAAGCTCCTTTTCCGCTGCTGCCAGCTCCTCCTTGTCCTCGACCGCCCGGGCTTGCGCCCGTTCAGCATCGCGAACCTTTTGCTTGAGTTCTTCCAATTCCCGCGCTCGTCGCCGCCCAAACGTGCTGGCTTGTTCTTCCGCCCGCTCCCGCTCTTCCACCGCCACATCCAACCGTTCTTGCATCTCCCGTATCCGACCCTCCGCTCGCCCTTGAGCCTCGTTGAGTAGTCGTCGCATCGTCTCGGCTTCGCGTCCACGTTCGCTCAAAAGTCGATGAGCATCCGCCAGTTCCTCTTCCAGACTCTCGCTCTTGCTGCGCACTTCCTTCATCTGCGTGCTCATCTCTTGCGTCTGATCTTGCATGCTATTCATCAACTCTTGCGCGCTACTATACTGCGCCGTCTTGAGCTGAATCTCATCACGCAGCCCATCCGCTTCGCGCTTCAGTTTCGCTACTTCTTCTTCCAGAGCCAATACCTTGCTGCGTGCCATCTTGAGCTCCTCTTGTGCCTTGCTCAACTCTTTGCTCAACCCATCCCGGCTTTCCAGGACGTCTTTGCGCTCCACTTCCGACTTTTGAAGATCGCGCTGGATTTTGCGATTCGTCTCTTCCAGTGCCTGTCTTTGCGTCGTCTCTTGCTTCATCTTTTCTTGCAGAGCCTTGACGTCGCCCTCCTTGTCTGACAGTTGCGCTTTGTAGCTGGCAATCTCCGACTTGAGATCCTTTTCACGGCCTTCGAGTCTTCGCACTTTGGCCGTCTCTGCCGACAACTCCTCCTTGCTCAACCGTAGCTCGGCGACTTCTTTGCGTAGCGAGGTTAGTTCGGGCTGTGCCTTTTGCAATACTTCTCGCATGTCTGTGACATCCTTGAACCGCGACGCAGCTAGCTTTTCAGCAATCGACAGGTCTGTTTGTAATGAATCCACCTTGGATTGAAGCTGCTCGAACTCGGCAGTCAGTCTTTCTCGCTCCTGCTGCGAGCTTTCGTGTGCAGTTTTGCCCGTACGTAGTTCAGCAATCTCCGCCTCGAGCTTGGCCAGACTCTCTTGCAGGGCCGATTTTTCAGCCTGTAGCTGCTTCACCTTGTCCTTTGCTTCTGTATGCTCAGAGCCAAAGTCCAGAAGATCTTGCCGCAGCGTATCAATCTCCTCTTGCATGTCGTCTTGATCCTTCAACTTCTTCCTCAATATCTCCATGGAAGATGCCTTTTGGTCCATCTCGGCCTGAAGCGTCTCCATGGCGGCCACCTTTTCTTCCAACTCCGATTTGAGTTCAGCAATCCTCTTCTGTGCATCCTCCGCTTGAGACTGCGAGAACTCCGCATCGCGAGGACTGAGAAGGCCATTGCTGTCTCCCGCCTCGCTTGGCGTGGCCTCTGGAGTAGCAGCACCCGCCTCTGCTCCCTTTGCGCCTTTGCCCTTTTTCTTATTCCTCTTCTTCTGTGCTGCAGATAGAACGGGTTGTGGAGCCGCCAGCTGTGGTCGTGGCGAGGCAGATGCCGGACTAGTCGCCTTAGCCTTGTTGACAGCTTCCAACTCCTTTTGCATCCTTTGGAGATCCACCAAGGCGCTGTCACGCTTCGCTTCCGTATCCTTGAGTTGCTCTCGCAATTTCGCCATCAGACCATTCATAGTCTCATTGCGCTTCTCGGCCTTGCTGTGTGTTTCGCGTAGGTTAGCTAATTCAGCCTCGATTGTCTTGAGCTGTTCTCTCAACAATTGTATTTGATCGTCTTCCACAATCTTTTCGCCTTTTTCTGCATGCAGCTCTTGCAGCTCTTGGGTCGCCTTTTCGAGTTTCTGCTTGAGCTCGGCCATGGCCTTTTCGTCTTGCTCGTGGATAGATTTGTGCGTTGCCAATCCCTGTTCTGCGCTTTCCACTCGCGACTGGAGATCTGCAATCGTAGCACTTAGCTCCTTCTCCCGCTCGTCTGCCTCGCGTTGTAGTTGCTGGTGCGTATCTTTGAATGAATTGAGATCATTTGTAGTCGTTTCCAGGTTCTTCATGAAGGATTCTGCAGAATCTTGTGCGGTAGCCAGTTCATTCTTCAGCGATTTATTCTCCTCCTCGAGCTTCCCGATCTTCTCCTCGCTCTCTTGCAATTGCGACTGCAGGCGGGGCAGCTCACTGTCATAAGAGAAGAATTCCTCCGTTTCATCCGTCCTTTCCGTCTGCTTGGACGTTGTGGAGGGTGCTGTAGATTCCGTCTGGGTTGTAGAGTCATCTTGAACGCTCTCTGAAGCCGTAGATGGCTGCGATTTCATTGTCTCGACTTTTTCCTCGGCTGCCTTGGCCCGCTGCTCTGCTTCTTCCGCCTGCTTCTTGATCTCATCACGCTCCTTGGAGACACGCTTCAACTCCTCCATGAGCATGTCACTCTTGACATTCAGTTGACCGAGGTATTCGACAAAGGCGGCAGAATCGGCAATAGAGGTGAGGGGCGTGTATTCGCGGAGGGAGCTTTCAAACGTCTCGATCGCACCAATGCGGGCATGTGCGATGCGGTACGAGCGGAGGAGTTCTGCGACAACCATCAGCCATGGGCGCCCTTTTGGGCATGTTTCACCAACCAGTGTACTTGGGTTCTAGCTTGTCCAATCTACGTAGTCGTGTCTGAATCTCGGGTGACAGTTCTGGCGCCTTGTCTGCCTTGTCATCTGCTTGGGCAGCTGGCCCATCCTGAGTGTCGTCGTCATTCTTTGCGCCAGCGTTAGCCGACTGCGCCTTCTCCTTGGGCTTGGGCGTGCCGCTCCGACTTGGTGCATCGTCTTCCTCGCCTATGACGAACTCGGGGTCAAATTCCGAGGGGTCGGGGCCTTTGCCAGCTGGTGCAGTCTTGCCGTCTGCATCCTTGGCTTTCACTGTTCGTTTCGAAGGCGAAAGGTTGCGCGAAGTGGACCGGCGTTGGGTAGAGCTCGATCGCGCAGGCGCAGTTGGTTGCGTGGCCTTTTGGCGTGCCTGTTCCTCTGCTATTCTCTGATCAATGGCGCCGCGGATGCGCTGCCAGTTTCCGCCCTCCCAATCAGCCTACTGCAGTCCTGGACAGGTACAGGATAGGATGAGAGCGTAAAAGAGTCACCACTTACCTGGAGGCCCTGGAACATGATGGAGATGACTAGGTAAGGGATGCAGCAATAGGGCAATAGGTACAAAAAGGAAATGTATCAAGGCAATCAAGGCATGCTTCAAGAGACGTGGTGGTGGCTGTGACATGGACAAACCAACCCAAACCAAACACCATCTATCTATGCTGAGACGTATGAGGGTTGGCCGCTAGCCTCCAGCGGAGACGAACGGGCGATCGAGCGGCGGCGGCGGCGGCAGGGCGGCTGGACTTACTTGACTCGTGCCCTAGCGAATATCGGCCCAACTTTTTTTCCATTGTGCTTTCTGCAAGGCCTGCCAAAGTTCCCCCCCCCCCTCCCCACCATCGCCCTCACCACCGAACATCACAACAACAGCAAACACGATATCGCACCATGTCGACTGTCGAGATTGCACTGCCACTTCCAGTCCTCCCTGGAGGCTGGGCTGGTGACAAGGACTTCAAGGCTGTTGGCCAACTCAGCCAGGCCATCGACCGCAATATTGAGCCCGTTGGCCCACATTTCCTGGCTTATGCCCGCAGAGTACGACTCCAAAACATGCCCAACTCTCCAACAATCCTTCGCAGCCCATTTCTATTTCTCCTCACTAACAGTCGCATTACAGAAGCGTCACCAGCGCACCTTCTCCGAGGATGAACGCATCCAGGCCCAGGCCAATGTCAAGAAAGTCGAGGAAGAGGACCCTGACGACATTGACGAGCCTGAGGACCCCGTTTTGCTCCAGCGCGAGGCCAAGGACTGGAAGGTACGTCGATTCACTGCAACACCAAACGCTAGGCCTGTCATACGCATATACTGACCATGACTAGTCGCAAGACCACTACGCCGTACTCGGAATAACTCGTTACCGCTGGAGGGCTACGGAAGACCAAATCAAGCGTGCCCACCGTCGCAAGGTCCTCAAGCACCACCCCGACAAGCGCGCCGCTGCTGGTGGAACAGAAGACGATCAATTCTTCAAGTGCATCCAAAAGGCCACCGAGGTCCTCTCTGACCCCGTCCGCAGGAGGCAGTTCGACTCGGTTGACGAGGCGGCCGAGGTGGAGCCACCGACGAAGAAGCAGACGCAGTCGGGCAACTTCTACAAGCTCTGGGGCAAGGTCTTCGAAGCCGAGGGTCGCTTCTCCAACAAGCAGCCGGTGCCCAAGCTTGGAAATGCAAACTTCACCAAGGAAGAGGTCGAGCACTTTTACAACTTCTGG